CAATTCATCATAAATAGGTATAGAAAACCATATAAATCAACAATACAATCCAATCTAAACACAATTTCATCAACATTAAATCATAGGCATTAAACCCACTTCATTAGCAAATTCTAGGCTTTTAATGAAAACATGGGTTCTTGAAGAAGTTTCATATAAAAATCATCTTAAAATCATAAATAGAACTTCAATTCACCAATATAATGACTTTGAAAACATTTTACCCATGAACCCATACCTAGAATAGAAAATAGAAGTTTTGTTCTTTGAAGACTTTTGAAACCCTTTTGAATGGACTCCTTGAAGGAAAGATAATCAAGGATCAAGGGTCACCATACCTTTGTTAAGATTCCCCAAGAAAATTGATGAAGAAACCACCTTCAATCCAAGCCCTAGCTCCAAGTTCTTGACCTTCTTAAAATGGAGGATTGTAGAGAGAAAAGTATTTGAGAGGAGGTGAGTTCTTTTTAATTCTAAATGGAGTGACTTAAAATGGAAGAATTTGGTCTAGAAGGGTTTTTATAATTGCTAGGAAAGGCATATAATAAAAGGGGCTCAACTTAGGAAAAGAAATAAGGACCCACTTAAAAGTTTCCACTAAACCCGTCTAAGCTTGTCCTTGCTGACAGTGCTTCACTATTTTGGGCATAACTTTTTACTCCGAGATCGGAAAAGGGAAAACTCGGTGGCGTTGGAAAGAGGACTCAGATACCTTTAATTGGATAGGTAATGGTCCACCTAATTCATTTTGAGCTAAAAGATATGACCATTTAAAGTTGACCCTCACTCCTAACTTAAAACTAAAAACTGTTTTTAGGGGACTGTTTTGAGGGTCTCGGTTCTAAATGATTTCATGACCTAGCTTAAGGTCTTGCTAGCTTATAAAGGTGATTAATCAACTAGCTAATCAACCCCTTAAGCCCTTAAACAACACTCCAAACTTCAACGACAAGACCCTTACAACTTACTAGTTCAAACGACTAGTTTCCGGACATCACTGTCATTTCTCATCATTTCATCAAGTTCTCAACTCCAAACTCACATGTGAGGCTCTAGTTTCACTAGTTCGTTTTTTTTTTTGGGTCGTTACAATAATAATTAAAAAAAATTGGGTTTTTTATTCCTTATGTACTAGGTTTTTCATCCATGTCTACGTCTCCTGTATTTACTTCTAAATTCTTTGTATTATCTATGTTTGTTAAAAGTTCCGTATATGTTTCGCTTGTTTCCGAATGTTGTTCATCTAGATCATCGTTATTTATATCATCAATTCTTATTTCAGGTAGATTATCTTGGTTATTTTCTTCTTTTTCTTCTAGTTCTTCTTCTAATTGCAATTTTTCTTTTAATTTATTTATCTCATTTGCTAATTTCATTTTTTTTTCTTTTTCTTTTTGTTTAATTTCATACATTTCTTTTAATATTGCCAGTTCTTTTTCTAGTTCTATTATTTTAGTATTTTTTACTTCTAATTGTTGTACTTCCATTTTTGCTTGTTGTTTATTTTTCAATTTCCATTTTTCTATCTATTTCTTCATTTTCTTTTGTTATTCTTATCATAGCAGTTAAACTATCTTCTAGTTTTACCGTTTCTTTTTCTAACATTAAACTTATATTGTCACATATTTTCTTGTATCTTCTTCCTAGATTAGAAAATATTATCTTTATTTTTAATCCGTCATAGTTTTCATATATTTTTTCGTTTATGGCATATTCTTCCTTATTCATTTATAGATTGTGTTGAAGTTTATATTCTAAACTTTCTATCTGTATCTATAGATATAAAATAGTTTTCCTTTGTGCCACTATAGATTTTTTACAAGTTCCTGCGAATATATTACTATTAAGTTTACTTTGCCTATGTGCTAATTATTGTCTTTTCGCTATAATTATTTCAGTAAGTTTTTGTCTATATTCGTTATTCTCGTTATTCATTGTATTTTTAAATATTGAATATATTTATATTCTATTTTAGATATATTATCTATTAATTTATCTAATTTTTCGTTATCAGTTTTTGTGATATTGAGTTGTTTGTATTCTGGATATAATTTATTTAATTTTCTTCTTATTTTTCTTAACTTTCTACTAGTATGTTTCTTCTTATATTTCTTTTCATCCATAGCTCTGATACCATTTTTCGAGGGTGCGGAATTGGTAGAATACTAATTGTTGTACTTCCTTTTTTGCTTGTTGTTTTCTTTAATCAATTTCAAAGTATTAAATATTAGAATACTAATTATTGTACTTCCTTTTTTGCTTGTTGTTTGATTTTTTCAATTTCCGTTTTTCTATCTATTTCTTCATTTTCTTTTATTATTCTTTTCATAGCAGCTAAACTATCTTCTAGTTTTACCATTTCTTTTTCTAACATTAAACTTATATTGTCACATATTTTCTTGTATCTTCTTCCTAGATTAGAAAATATCTTATCCCATATTTGTATTTTTATATTTTTTGTCTTATATGTGATCATGTTTCCTTCATTATTAAATCCTGTTACTACTATCGGTGTTTTTAAGTTTTCCCATTTATCTTCTGGTAAGCAATTGTATTTACATATATTAGCTTCTGCTCCTGTGTCTATCATTAGTATATAATATCTGTTATAATATCTCTTTTTTCAAGGGTCTTAATCTTGATATCTCTTTAATATTATTTATGATATATTCTAGCTATAACATATATTGGGTTATTAGGTACATATATAAATTTTCCTCCATTAGTTGTTCTAATAATTTTATATCTTCCATAGATTTTGTCCAATATTGTAAATATTTGTAGTTCATTTTAGTCTGAATTTATGGGGTTCTTTTATGATGAATAAATATTGTAAAAAGCTTCATCTAGTGATTTCACAAAGTAGAGAAGCTTATACAATATGGAAAAAGATGGTGAGAATGAGAGAGGTAGTGGAGCATCAAATCGGTTCACAAATCAAAGGGGAAATTCCAGCCTCTGGTTTGATAACTGGACAACCTTGGGAGCACTATACCACATTATACCAGAATCTGATAATGAAGAAATAGAAGTGTGCAAGTTTGCAGATGAGAATAGATGGAATATACAAAAGTTAGAAGAATGCATACGTGTTGCATATATGCAACACATTGTCAGCAACATCCCATTTCCTAACAACACTCAATCCATTGATAAACCATACTGGATGCTTGAAACAAATGGAAAATTCTCTGTAAAGAGTGCATGGAGTATGTCAGACAAAAAGAAGAGCAAGAAAAGATCTTCAAGTTAATTTGGGCAAGAAAAATGCCTTTCAAAATGTCATTCCTGATATGGAGAGCTTGGAAGTATATGGTCCCGACATATGATGTTTTGCAAAGATTGGGAATACATCTAGTCTCAAAGTGTTAGTATTTTCAGGAAGCTAAACTAGAGATTATGCCACACTTATTTCTAACCTCTTCCATAACTTCAAAACTGTGGAAGGTGTTTGTTGTTTTTGCAGGTATAAACATCGAAGGACTACAACTTTCACAGGCTCTGAATCAATGGTGGACAATTCAATGTTATCCAAAATTAAAGAAAATATTTATAGCAGTCCTACCATTATCATGTGGCATCTATGGAGAAGGAGAAACAACTTAAAGAATGGAAAGACTTGTTCTTTCAATAGGCTTGTATTTACAGTGAACACAAATATTAGAAGAATGGTGAAGCTATAATCTACCCTAAGATGAAACAAGTTCCTACAATTTGGTCAGAAATGGTGGAATATTTGGGGAGGTATAAACCAAATCTATATCAGTTACATAGAAGCCGCTAGCTCAAGGAAGTTAAAAAATGCAACACAGACGGGGCCTCAAAGGGGAATCCAGGGAGGAGTGCTTATGGTTTTTGTCTAAGAAATGAAAACGGTGATTTAGTGTATGCTCAGGGGGAAGAGATACATAAAACAACCAACATAGAGGCCGAAGCAATAGCTATAAGAGAAGCTATTTACCATTGTCTATATATGGGGATTGGTGAAATACAGATATAAACTGATTCTTTAATGCTAGTCAATATTCTATCAGGTATATGGAAAATTCCATGGCAAATTGAAATATTGGTGGAAGATATCAAACAATTTGCTCGATTAATACAAGTCAGATTGAGGCATATCTATAGAGAAGGTATTACTATGGCGGATTGTATAGCTAATCTATCCTTTAACGGGGCAAATAGATTCAGTTGTACATCTTTCACAGAACTACCTACTAATGCAAAGAAAATCCTCAACCTCGACAAGCATCAAGTAGCAAATTTGAAAATCAAAACTAAGAAGATCAATCAAGATACCAATGGGGGAAGGGAAAACATTCTAATATGAAAAAGAATGACACAAATTTGAAAAAATACATTCTTAGGGCAAACAAATGCGAGAAAAGGGATAATTTTCAACAGGGAAGATACAAAATGCTTATTTACTTGAAAATGAAGTGTGAAGAGGACAAAATCCAACTGTGATGCAATGAACAAACACCCACATGATAAATCTGCAAAAGTAATCTGTGATAAAGCAGCTCATTCATCACAAATCTCAACATGAATGGAAACAATGAAAACGTGTTACCAGCCATGGAGGAGGTAGATCAGAGAGAGGATGAAGAAGAAGAGCTTTGGTTTCTTTTTAGGGAGTGCAGACCTTAGAAGAAACCAATTTAGAAAGAATAAAAGACTTTGATTATTTCTCACATATTTATTTCTTATTGGGCAAACGACCGTTTAGTCATTTTGTATTTTCCTTTGACACTTTGTAATTTTATTTGTTTATTCATAAATAAATAAAAGGGCATAGCAGTCCACAAATATTGCAACAAAAAATAAGACGTGTAATAATGAAAAAAATTACAATAAAATATATCTACCATTGTACATTAATAATAAAATATTGCAAAATTGTTGGGCTTGGCCCCGTGCGTCCCTTTCTAGTCTAGTTTTTTATATATAAGCGAAAAAAAAGGAAAATGTGAGTTTGTATGATGAAATCAAATCAAAGAATGGTGGAAGGAAGCGTGAAATCCCTAACAATCGCGGAGCTCCTCCGTGAATGTCGTCCTCGCACCGGCGCATCGTCACTTATTTCCAGTCCTTGTCCGAAAATTCCACCACCACACTTTTCACCCTCCCTCCCCACTCCCACTCCCACACTTTCTTCCCCCAAAATACTCAAATCCCTTAACCATCCAACTCTTCTTACTGGAATCCTTTTTCTACCTCCTCATGGAGATGGACACGATTCACCTCTCAACTGCAATTGTTTTCGTTTCTCTGATGGCGCTGACACTGTTTGTTGTGACATTCTTCGGTTTAATCCCTCTATGATTAACAAAAAGGTTCAAATTTTAGGTTGGAATTTCATACCCTTCAACTGTAATGCTAATGCTAATGGTGGGTTCTTAGAAATTATTCGGTGGGCTTTTCTCGATTCTACTTCTGCATCTTCGGATACTTTTTCAATACTTTCTCGGTCTTGTGTTGATCAATATTATAGTGTAAAAGCTCGATACTTTGTATGCGGCCTAGTAGAATCTGTTAGCCCTGTTTCTGTCGTTCCATGCAGAGCTGGCTCCACAGCTCATACTGAAAATCTTCATGGCTTCCTCGTAAATATTTTAGTTTGTAGCTGTAAATTGTGTAATTCTAAATATAATATAAGATTGGATATGCGGTATTCAAATGATCATTTTTATAACAAACCTGAGATTGTCTACTTTTGTGGCTCTGCTTCTTCTTGGCATCCAGTTCTTTCAAGACTGATAAAGAGAAATGTTTCAATATCGGGATTGAAGAAGAGACTTGTATTTGTGGGAAAAAAACTGTCTCGATTGATGTATGTAGTTGTGGATAATTCTTTGATGTATATTCCTAACTTTCCCCTCCCCCTTGGGGTAACTGATGTGAGAGGGGAAGGAGAACTTGTTAGTTATACAGGAACTGTGACAGGAATTTACATGAGGGGTATGATTGTTGAGTTGGATAATGAACTTTTGCTATTGTTAACTGATCAGCAGCTTTCCGTTCCACATAGTGTGAGAGTTGGAGCAATGGTATGATTTCTAAAATGGTATTTTTACTTTGATAAGAAAATTAAAGATTTTTTTCATGTGTTTAGTCTCTTAAAGGATACCTTTTTGTTCAGGTATCAGTGAAAAACGTTCATGTTGTAAATCCAAATTTTTCATGGACAAAGACGCTTATACTCGGCTCTTGTGTTAAAACTAGCATTTCTGTGGAATGTTTCTCCTCGCTGGAAACCGGGTTGAGTCTCCTAAGCACTCCTTGTAAATGATTCCACCGTACCTGCGTATTAATTTTATTCACCTGTTTAATATTTGTTGGGCTCACAGGTGTTATACAGTGACCTGCTGTGAGAATCTTCTTGCAAAGTTCATTGACTCCTTGGCGTTTGTTGCCAGGCTATGGTAGTAAAGCAAGAGTAACAATCATCAAATTGATTTTGTGTCTGTGTTAATATTATCATTCATATGATGGTCTTTTCATTTGCTTCAGGGTATTACTTGTCATCATCTGTTTAAGGAGAAAGTTTTCTGGGATCTTATCTGAGAAAGAGATCTTGGGATCAACAAATGTAAGTTGCTTGTCTTACCAGTGATATACATTAGAACTTATAGCCTATTTGACCAAGCTTTTGGAGGCCGAAAGTGCTTAGCTTAGAAGGGAAAGGTGTTTGACCAAGCATTCTGGATAGTAGTAGAAGCTGTTTTGCAGTATCTAAAAAAAGTAGCTTTTCCTTAGAAGTTCTTTTTTGAAAAGCACTTTTGAGAAAAATGCACTCAGAAGTTCTTTGAAAAGCTTGGGCCGAACACTAGTTGCTGCTTGAAAGTGTTTTCAGAATTTATTGGCCAAACACAGTCTGCTTTTCCGAAACAGTACTTTTTTGAGAAGTTGTCGAAATAAGCTGATTTTTGAAGCTTGGCCAAACAAGCTATTGGTCTCTGTGTTATCGTAATATCTTTTCTTTGTGCCCAGTGTCATACAAAACTATTTTTAGCTGATGTGCACAATTGCAAGGTGTTGCCAGAGGAAAGGATTGGCTCAGACATATGCAACTTCATATTTACCCCCTTCAGTCTTCCGAATTCGGGTAAGTGTGTTATCATTGGGTGAGCATATAAATTGAGTCTTCTTTACTGTACTCATTTGTTAAATATTTTTGGTTTGGCAGCATGGGATGTTCATGGAATTTGTCAAGCATGATAAATGTGCGTGTGGCAGGGAAAGAAGTTCTGCTCCTTTGAAGTTGGTAAGTTTGCAGATTTTATGAAATTTTCATTATCTGAAGGTTTTCCTTTCTGCGGTTTGGGGTTGGAGACACTGCTTTAACTTTCTAGAAATCAAAACCAACTTAGCTACATAAAATGTAATAATCATTGTTCAATCAATTTCAGGTTGCACCTATCGCTAATTTAATTAATTCTTGTGAGGCCATGTGGAAGAAAATGATTTGCCATCAGGACACAGATTTTAATATCATGGGTACCCAAAAGGAGAACAACTCCATATCTTGTGATGGCAGACCTTATGTGCTGTCTATAAGGAAAGCCATTCACAGTGAAGACATAGGTGTTTCTTTGCTTGGAATCTTAAAGGTCTGAACTTTTTATTTGTACTTCCTTTTTTTGTGTTTTCAATGATATACTTGCCAGAAGTTAGGAGCCTATTATTATGACATTATGTGGTAGGTAGATTTCCTAGTTTTATTGGATTAATCTGTATAAATGGAAACCTCATTTACTAGCATCATTCTATGTACACAGAAGAGGCCACAAGAAGTTTAACATGATGGTAGCTTCCTACTTTCTTAACTGATGATAATCAAACAAGGAATGGAAATAAAAAGGAAAAGGATATGTGGATTAAGATTCAAGCTATTGAACTTATAGGGAACAAGGGGCTAAGACCGTCACCTACCAACTGGGTTCAACAACCTAAACTAAACCCAAGCAAGGAAAATCGAAGGAAACTAAGAACCACAAATGGGTAACCCTTTGATTAATCAAACTCAAAGAAGATAACTATCAATTCTAAGAGTTAACCACTAATCACTCACTAATTCCTTAAGGGAATTACACTAAGCACTAAAGCTAGCAACTACAATTTGAGAGTATTCAACTTCAATATCGAACATTCAACATACTAAGTCTTCCAAATGACAAATGACTACTATTGCACTAAGGAAATAAAGAAGTCACTTTCCTTACAATTTTACCCTTAATGATATAAGGGCCTCGTTTGGTTCTCTTTCTTTTGTTAGTTCTTGAATTTATGAGATGGCCATTTGAACACATGACCTCTTTCTTTCTCTTCACTTTGATGAACCTTCAACACATTATATGTCTTTATTTGGCGTCCAAAAGCTCCTCTAAAGCTCTATGATGTATGCTATTCATGCCGTTGTCATCAATTTTGCGTATTTGATATCTAAACTCAAAGTATCTTTATTTCCGACTTCATATTTCTTATAAACTTGCCAAATATTATCATCATAATTTTTCATTCAGCCAGGTCTCACAATCGTCTGGAAGGATGTTGCTTGTTGATGCAACTGGAAGCATTGATGTTATCATACCAGATCTTCCATTAAGTTTGAACATCAATAACATATATGAGGTTTCATGCAACATTAATCTTCTTTCATTTGGTGCTTTTCATTTCCTAATCATTTGGGGTCCAGCACTATAAATGCTATGTGGTAGAAATTGTTTCATCCACTATATATTTTCATTTTTCTTTCCCACAAAATAATTTCTCTCTCAGGTCAGAAATTTTTTTGCAATTATGGAAGACATACCCATGAAGCTGGGTCCTGTGGATTTACTCCAAAATGCACCTTTCACGTGTAGAAGTATTTTTGAGAATGCTCCACTTGTGAGAGAGATGAACATGCCACTGCATTTTTACTACGACCTGAGGGACCTAATACCTGTAAATCATCATTTTACTACCTCTGTACATTCACCAGTTGACTTTCAGAAAGTTGGACGAGGAAAGTATCATCTACTTCAGTTGATGCACAAATTCCCTATTCTGCAAAAGGTATGTGTCTTGCAAAAAATAGTGCTCGTCTTACAAGTTTGAGAGAACAAAAATAATGAGTCTGTGGATATGTTAGCATCAGTTTCAAGGAAGTCAACATGCTTCAAATACATCAAGCACATTTGCTGAGGCCTTAATTTTGCCTTGGGATTTACTTATTGCTGGCAACAACAGAGATACCTGTATTGAAGAGCCTTTGATAGACCAATTGAAGCAACCAATGAAATTTTTTAATAGAATGGAAATTGGAAAGCTTATTGCATGTAAAAGACAAAAGCCTGATCAACTGTCTAATGAGGCTTTGACATCTGCACTCAATGATACTGGAAATGAACCGAGTTACAGCTCCAGTCACCCAGCTTACACATGCTCTTTTGTGGTGGGCAAGCGTCATGACTCATGCTGTCCAGAGGAGATCCCATGTCTTGTGATGGGAAATTGTGTTAATTATCCTTTCCTTGGTATGTTGCACCACACAGACACCAGAACAGATGTGGGGTCTTGCTCCAAACCACAAGTGAGAAGGGCATTGCTGGAATTCAAGTCTGAAGCTTTATCTGTTTATGAGGTATGGCATTTCATTTCTTTTTGTTCTGATGTCTGGCATATAAATGACATAAAATTTACGTTAACAACATAAACGCAACTTTTGTTCATTGATGTTGCAGAGGTTAAAAATTGGAAGTCATTACCTTATAAAACATCAGAAAGAAGATATGTTTTGTACTGATGCAATAGGTGATACAATAGTTGTGAATTCGGGAACCAACATTTGGAGCGTTTCTTTTTCATCTGTTAATGTTCACCAAAATTTTGATGTATCCTGCTTGCTTCAACAGTCTGGTTCCTTTTTAAGTCACAATAATGATCTTCCAGAAGGCTATCATCAGTTTCAAATTCCAAACTCTTTGCCTAATGGAAGCAATGATATCTCTTCAGATGTCAACTTATATATGCCATCTGATGTCACAAACTTATTTGATGTTAACTTGGTGTTGTTGGAGAACTGTTCTCTCGAGCCTCTTGTTCCATTTGGAGAAATGACCAACATCTGCCCCTCTGATCATAATTTGCCAGAGGGAAATCTAACATCTATTCATGGGCAAATCAAGGCTGTTCATTATTCAGATGGAAAATCATATGCTGCACATTTGAGGTGCGAGAGCATCAATGGTGTTTGTCCATCACTATTCTTAGAAGGAACTATCAGTATATGTGTCCACGTTTTAATAGACCATAAGATGGTATCTTCTTTTTGCTTTTCATCTTCTGAACTTATTACGTTATACTTTCGCCTCTTTATTGTTAGAAAACATTTTTGTTACCTTAAGACTGTTACATGATTGGCTAGGTCAAGATTTTTGGCTCTGCAAATAAACCCGCTTACCCTGCTGGATTTGGACGAGGTGTCACTGCATCATTTCACAGAGTACTAGCCCTCAGGTATTCAATTTCAGTATATTTTAGCAGCTCTTAAAGCTCAATGGGTCAACTCCTGCACTTCTACCTTCTAACTTGTGGATACATTTTAGGTGAAAACTATTAAGTATTTTGTAGATTATAGTAATAGTTTTCTCTTGCAATTGCTAAGTGCTATTATTGCTTATTTCACTAAATTAGCTTTGTCATGTGAGTGCATATTTTACACATGAAAGGAAGATTAAGATCTAGAGAAGATTCTGAAACATTCTAATATTTCTGACCTGTAAGCTTCTACATATCCTGCATTATCAAGTAATATATGTTCCATTAACAATTTTTTCTATGTTTGACAAAATATACAGTAAAAACAGCATAGATGATCCCTAGTCCTTTTTTACGGCGCTGTTTGAAAAAGATTGCTTCTTTTTGATACTGTAGTGCACATTATGCATGCCTGGAGCCATGACATTACTGGTGTATTAATAGTATGAATATTTTTTTTTTAACATGGAGTAGCATTTATGCTATTTACCTAGCAGTTCTTTTTCCAGTGCGCAGGACAACTTTATGTTGATACCTACATCCTTCATTGTTATCAACCCATCAAGTTTGATAAATGATCACAGTGTTGATCCACACACCTACAAATCTGCTGCTTTGGACTTGGATGGTGGTTCTCCATTCTATGCTAATACTGCATCTCTAATTGCTGATACAGTAAGCTGTTTAGCGACTCAACAAGTGGAGTTCCATTGCAGGGTAACCACAGTTCTTATGCAGATATTAGCTGGGTTAAAAATATTGTGTCTCTGATCTTGTTGAAAAAGAAAACATGTAAACTCTAGAACAACTTATTCACTACCCTAACAAGTTGCAAATTCTTCTCTTCTAGCCACTTCTTTAAACTCCTGCTAGGAAATCAATATTCGTTTTGGCCCTAAACATATTTTGGAACCAGTTTATCTAGAATGAAAGACACTTTTAACTTGGCCTCCACTGACAATTGAACACCCCAACTTTCATTGTGACCATCAAGGTACTTCAATCTGAAACAGTTGTGTCTCGCGAACTCCTTTACTTTGAAAATGCACATCTAGTCACTTTTAAGGTGGTGAATTCTCAAAGTTGGGATGTTTTTGGGGCCAACTTAAACCAAGTTAAGGTGTCTAGATGTGCATTTTCACAGTTGGGGTGTTCAGTTGCCAGTTGAGGCAAAGTTAAGGTGTCTTATCTATTTTATTATATGCCTATTTTGAAACGTTAAATAAACCTTCCAGCACTTTGGCATAGTCTGCTCCATTTTCAATTGGACATTTTGAATAAGAACTTTCTTTTAGTTTCTTCTTTTGTTTCATTTCATGTAATATCATTTGAGTTTGAGATTGAGTTTTAGGTCTGTGCACAGTCAGTATACAAAGCTTTTTATGCTATCAGGTAAATGAAAAGATAAACATGGCAACTTTATAAAATTTGGATTTAGGAAAAATAAAAGACCTGTGGAGTCCTAGTTGTACTCTATCCAAATCAGTTCTTTCTTTTTATGATGGAAATCACATTACTTTCCCTTTCTAACATAAATCAAATTCTAATGTTTGCCATATTTTTCTGAACTTGTTCATCATAATCAGTCAAATAATCAAACAAGGAAGGACTGGAATTATTTAAAAAAGGTCGAGTAATTCTTCAACGTCTCAAATACTGTGAACTTTATCCTCAACAGCTTAACCATTGTTGACCTTCGATCTGGAGAATCTTCTACTTTAAGGGTTTATTGTAGCATGTTTTAGACGATTTTCAATGTTATTTTTTACTTGAGAAGCATTTGAACCCCTAGATATCACATAAAAAATTGGCATCAAAATCTTAGATTGCATTAGGTATTTCAATCACATGAAGAAGATCAGAGGAATATGGGATTAGAAGGACAATCAAAGAAAGAGACCATGGAGGGAGGGTTTGGAGGAGAGATGGAGAGTTTGAAGGAGAGATGAAGGTTTTATTAATTTTAGAAAAAGGAAAAAGAAGTATGGAAAGAATGGGCAACCTGCAATAGCAATTAGCAGGTAAATTTTACCTGATACTGTAAAAACTTTTGTCCACTGACAGTGCACAAAACTTGAACTCTTTGGGAATTACCTACCAAATGGAAAAGAAAACGCAACAATTCTAAATCAAAAAAAGAGAATGGAAATGGTAATGAACAAGACATACCTAATATTGCATATTGAAAGCTTCCACATCTGCTTCATCTTTTCTAGTCCTTGTTTTGTTGATTTCTTCCTGTGGCCAACAATCTTTAGATTTTTTTGGGTTAAATAGTCTCTTTAGGTTGACATTTTTAAATGCTGATAGAAAGAGAAGAAGCTGTTATCTTTTTTACTAACTTTAGTATACATTGTTATATAATTGAAAGTATTTGACTGACTGCTTGCTATTTTAAAAAGTGTGTTTGATCATGAGACCTGGCTATTCGACATAATTGAAAAGCTTTTAAAGGCCTTTCTATAGGGATGACAGAAGTGCCCATCTAAGGCGAAGTTAGTTGAAAATACACGAGGTCACAGGAATGAATACTCAAAAGATTAGGGACATCCATAGTATTTTTTTTAAACATTTTATAGGCACTTGTTGGACTTCTCTTCTCATAGGACATCCTTTTTTTTGGTTCATTTAATATCAGGTTGTGGCTATTTATGTCCTTGTCCTGGAGTACAACACAAAAAACAAATACCATCTGTCAAGAACTGAGTCTAGACCTAATTCATTTGCGATTGACATTCCACTTGCTGGTTTTATCCTTGGTATGTTTCTGAATTTAAATGTTTCAGAGTGTTTGATATATTAAAGAGGTCTACTTGATTTTATCCTGCCATTTTCTAATTCTTCCTTCACTTTTACAGTCATGTGGAATTTATCTTAAAATTTATAGAACAACCAAGTTCTTTTTAAATATTTTTTAAGAAGATTACCAGGTGTTTATATTTAGAATTTTTATGCAGAGATTTCCTCAACTTGTTTGGGACTGAGGCATAGTTGTTGTAATCATCAGAGATTTGTACTGTTGTCCTTTTCCTCCATAGTATATGAGGTTTCTTTTGCTACTGGAAAAATCTCACTTGCAGCAGTTAGTTAGATCTTGTCCTAGTCTCTGAAAAGTTCCCTGTTCAGCTCTCAAATAATGCTAGTGTTCCATGATTATTCTATATGCTTGTGCAGATCACGGTTCATCATCATGCTGTTGCTGGGCTAGTTGGGAGAGGGCAGCAGTTTTTCTGGGGTTACATGATGAAGAACTTAGAGGTGAAGCCTATGCTGAAACTTGCAAGAAGTCAAGGAAGACCAGGAAAAAGCAAGCATGTAGCAGTTTAAGGAGTATAATGAAGCGGCATGGCACAGTCACAGTGAGAAACCAGGCCTCCACGTTTGATTCATCATGTCAAGATCTTGTTTTTTCTGCCCAGTCTAAGAAGATTATAAGTAGTTTGGATCGAGATTTCTTTCAGTCCCTCATCCTCAAAGCTTGCTGCAGCACCCCTTTGGTAAGTTTCATTTGCACTTAGCAGTCACATATATTATGTCATCTCATCTTATAGTATGGAAATATACAAGTATGCATATATGCCTATAGATACTAATACATTCCTATGGAATGTATGTATGTATGTATGTAATGTCTTTTATACATAAACATTTATGCAGATGCATATTGTACCAATGGAATAAGTGTAGAGACTACCACCTCATAGGTTAAGGACTTAAGGTGGTGGTCTTGACTTAACTTGGAATCTATTTTCTTTTGCTATGTCAACCTGTCAGCCAATTCCTGTAATCTTGGAAGCTACATTATGTACTCGTTTTGAAGGGTAAATTTAAGATGTGCTTTTTGTGGCAGACGGTTGTTGGCAGTTTGGTGAATTCAGACGCTATCAGGCAGCTGGAGACACATTTGACTGAGCTGGATATCGTGATGCTTCCCATGCAAAATGTATGGGTTTCGGAAGTTGGTCACATGGACAGCCTTGCTCAGGCTAAAAAGATCCTTCAAGGAATTGTTGAAAGCTGAATTTGTGATGTAAATTGTTATGTACACGTACATGTCCATGGATTTTCTTCTTAACCATACATATATCTTGATGTCATTTCACAAAAAATATTCTGTTCAAACTCAGTTTCGACCATAATGATGTTTTGATTGTCAGATGATGTGTTCGGTTTGCAGTCTCCTATTTGTTCACATCATCTTGTAATCATGGTCAAGTGCTCGGAGTTTTGGTGTTCTTTGTACTTGTATGTAGTGTAGAGGGGTTCCAATGTAGAATATCTATCTGTGCAGACGTTTTTGCTCTCAATCATAGATAGTGGATTCATCAAGCTTTTCCCTCCAAGTCATTGCCATCAATCAGGTGTTCGAGCTCATAAATCAGGATGGCAGATGATTCATCTTAATGTCTATGCAAATTTTCCGCTTCTATATTTTAATTTTAACAATGGGAAAAATACCTTATTCCACATACACCCATAACATAATTTTATTTTTACTTTCAAATAATTATATACATAGGAGGGTGACGAGCGAGATTTGTCTATGTATTTAAGATAAATGAGAATCAACTTAGATACAATTACATCTAATATTGCTCCCATGAATCCTAAGATACATGCATATGGACATATCCAAAATCTACTAAGATTCTTTATATTTCAAACAAGAGTGTATCAAAGTAATTAACTCTTAAACAAGTGAGATTTTCTTAAGTTTCCCTTTAATCATAAACGATCAGCTTTCAACAAACTTTAATTTTTATTCTCAGATAAGCAATTCTTAATGCATCAATGGCCCTAAGATGGGTTGGCTTTTTTGCTTTCCATAAGACTTGCTTACAAAATGGCCTTTTGTCACGACCCAAAGTACACTCTAGGCGTGACATGACGTATAAGACCCTGAAAGGCCCCTCACAAGCCACTTGACATACATGTATGCAACATAATAGAGAAAAACTAGAAATCTCATAAGAATGTAAAGAGTTTGACATAAACAGAAGTACATCAAAGTCTAGATAAACCATATATTACATCAATAAGAGTGGTGGGGACGTAATCCGTACACCACATACAAAGTTTGTAACATAAAGACATAAGAAAGAAAAATGAAGTATCATGGTACTCGGAACATGAGGACTCACCAACTCTTGATCTTTGAATCATCAATGAGATCAACTCGCCACGAACGGTAGGAGAGAAATCGTCACACCCTACATTAGTGAAACAATGGAGGCTCAAGTATGCATGAAATGCACTAAGTATGAGGAGCATGCAGTAAAACAAGAAACATGATCATAAAGGGACTTAATGGAAAACATGATATGTGATGAGTCGGGGATTTTGACTCAGTTAGGGTTTAATATTGAAAGATTTAGTGTCCTCAATGCCTATTTTATGCTCATAACTGATGTTAAAATGTTGATTTGCAAAAATGAAGACAAAAGAGCAAGGTAAGGGCATTACAAAGGCAAAAAGGAGAGAAAAATGTGAAAAAGTTGAAGGAATGCAAAGTTGGTACTCGCCAAAGCCATTGGGCGACTCGCCGAGTGGACCTTCAGCTCACCTAAAGTTCCAGCAGGCCAGCCTATGGATAAGACCAACTTGGCAATAGGAGAAGTATTTCGGCGAGTCACCAAAAGTGTTCGGCGAATCTAATGTAGCTCGCCGAATTTTAGAGAAAAAGAGATGGTGAAAGGCACAACCAAGAAGGCGATGAAAGGGGCACTCGGTGCATCGCCGACCAGGTCAGCGAAGCCTGACTTACTTCACCAAGTGACTCCGATGCTGAAATTTTGGAAACGTATAAATGCAATTTTCAAAAGAAGAAAAGGAGTTCCCACATTGACCAGTTCTGTGTCTTTGGTCTTCAATATTCTAAACATTGTTCTTACACTTCAATTTGAGCATTTGGAGACTTGTGAATTGTTGCCCAATCTGATGGAAAACATAGTTTGTAACAATTTCTTGTTCTTTATTATGTTTGGCTAAAACCCCCATTCTTGGGGGTGTGATTACGTAGTTGAATGTTTCAATTAGCTTATGGGTGTTAATATTTACTGATTTTATTGTTGATTTGAAGTGGGTTCAATTAATAATTTGTGTTTTAATTGAGGAATTGTAGTGGTAAATGCAATTCTATTTTAGTTCTCTAAGCTTGCTTGAGAAAGAGGTATTAGAGTTAAGCTATTAGTTGATGATTGTAGTGATTGTGTTGTTGCGGATTTAGCTTGAGAAAGTGGGTCTAAATGCAATCCTACAAGTCTAGCTTGAAAAAGTAGATTGATTAAGGTATTGGGCTGCTAATTTGTGTTGCTTGTCAAAGTTCGAAAAAACTCGCTTGATTCGTGATAGTTGATTGAGAAATGACTATTGCACCTAAAGCCTAACCTACCCACTGAGGTTCAATGCCTTTTAGTAAATAATAATCACCCATTTAGCTAAATTGGCATTCAATTTATCACACTCCCAAGAAACTCTCTCTACTTGTTTACTCCCGGTTATTTGTAGTTGTTAATTGTTCACCCAAATCTCCCCATTTGACATTAATTGTCAACTCCTTTGTCATTTTCTTTTTTTGTTGCGAAAAATGTCTACAACTACAAACGATTAGAACACCATTCTACTTCGTAATCAAATTCTTTACCGTACACTCCCTATGGGATCGACCCCAAATCTTAGTTGGATTTACACTTGTTAGCGACTGCCTACACTTAGAATTGGATGAAGTGTAGTTAAGCGTTATCAAAAAATGGCACCGCTGTCGAGGAGTGGTGTTTAGAATTTGTTTGTTGAAGTTTAGTCGTGAACTAATTTTGTTGTAGTTGAATTATCCTATTTTTGTTCTTTGTGATTGCTTCAAAGGAGATGAAGAAATGAGTGTGAACAGGAAAAATGCAAGTCAACTTGGGAATAATGATGACATCGAAAACTTGCTTGACGTTAATGAGGATCAACTGGCAAGTGGGGGTGCTATTCTATTTCCCCCTACTATGGGCAATGCGGCGTCTCATGTGACCAGCATGATGTGATCACATGGTCACGTTGTGCTAGGACGTTAAATAAGGCGCTTCTTGGAAGGCAACCCAAGTTTTAGTTAATGTTTTGTTGTTTGAATAGTGGTTGTCAGATGTGTAGGTTGAAAAGTCAAAATTTGGGAGAAATAGACAATTGGGCGAGCTTAGGTACTACTTGGCGAATCGCCGAGAAGGTCGGTGATCCTAACATGAATCACTTTTTGACCAACCAAAGGGTCGGAGTTCTGGTGACTTTGGCGGGTAAAAGTAGCATTCGGCGCATCGCCGAACGGGTCGGCAAAATAAGTGACCACCACAGGTTGGGGCACGAGCTGAAGGGTCAAAAGGGATTCTAACCGTTTTAAATTCAAAACTCCCTTTCGTTTTGCATTTTTCGACTCTTGCACTCTTACCCTTTCAATTTAGATCATATTTTGCTTCATATTTTTGCGTGGGTGTCATTTCTTGGTTGCATTTTTCATATTTGTTTGCCTGAGTTTTGTGTCTAAGTGCTTCAGAGGTTGGTGTCTCAAACTTGCTTTAAATTCTTGCCAGTTCCTATGCATGCTCGTATAATTATTAATTCTATTGTATGATCTTGTGTATTTCGTTGATATTGAACTGTGGGCTATTGTTATATCGCGTTAAAATTCATGTTTAGCCCCTTATATTTTGATTCCATGTTTAAATTGCTTGAAATTTTGGATGTGTGGTTGTAGCATGTTGGGTTTGATGTGGGTGAAGTCTGAGTAACCCGAATTGTATCGATCAACTAAATTTGCCCAATGAGTGGGTGATGTGATTCTTAAGGGAAAAAGACGTTGATTGGTCGATTTTCGATAAATGAGGGAAGTCTGAGTACCCCGGGTTGATAGTGATATGGGCTAGGTGTTAATTGCATAGAATAGGGCTTTAATTTTGTTCGCATAGGGTGTGCATTGAAAATTGAAAGTCACGATACATATCTGGAACGAGGGGCAGTTCGGCGAGCTTAGTCGAGCTCGCCGACTGATTTGGCGGTTCGCTAAATGTCTTTGAAATCGCCCTTTTTACCATGAAATTGAGCTGTTAGCCTCTGTAGATTTCCACGATAAGCATGTGCTCGCCGAAAGACTTTGTGATCACCCTTTTTCAGCCTAAATTTTTGAAAATCATTTTGTTATATTCGACGAGCTACCCTTGGCTCGCAGACTGACCCTGAACCTCGTCGTCTTGTGCTGAATTCTGCTCATTTTTGTTCTGTTACTTTCGGCAACTCGCTGAGTTAGTCGGCAAGTTTTTCTGCAACTGTGAAACATGATTTTTCACTAACATGTTTCTAATGCATTCGTTCAATTTATGTTGTCTTTCAGATATGGCTAGACCCGAAGTACCCGAAAGAAACCCACCACGCTGAAAGAGAGCATAAGGAGTGGTCATTTAGGAGGAGGTTGTCCCTCCATATCAATGAGACCCAAACTTCCTCCGACTGGAGGGGGGGGGGGGGGGAAGGAACAGGGAAGGTAAAGAAACCTACGGAGCCGAGCTCGAGTAGTTCTATCTTCGACAACATGGGTATAGACTCCACCCACCTAACCAATTCGGAGTATGATCGTGAGAACAATTTCAGGGTCTAGATTGCCAGCCTTCGAGTCTGAACCCGAGGATGATCAACCCTTTAGAGGAGAAAGGCTGAGTTGTTCTCCAAAGCGCTGCATGATCCGCTAGACACCCAGTCACTCCGACACCTCCTCCTCCTCCAACACAGATAGTTGAGCTGGCACCACAAGTGCCCTCGAAACAGGCACCTCCGTCGCATTTGATGAATAGATTGAAGGCTGTCGGGTTGCGTACAATTTTGGAAGAGAAGAGGTTGTCCACTGATGGAGTGATGGATAGGTATAACACCTCGAAAACTAGAAGGCTAAACTATAGCTTGACGTGAGGGTTACAGTCGTGAGTTTAACCTCCCATACTTAAAATGAAGGGTTTCGGGGTAGAACGTCAAGGTACAACTCCCCAAGAACCAACTTAGAGTCCTTGAGGAGGACCCTAGTAGGCTTCCCCAAATAGTGAACCACGAAAGGGACCCACACCTTGTGGGTGAGGGGTCGTGGGCCAGGGTCCTAGAAACATAGTTGCAAACCACCACCCACGGTTGACCAGCACACCCCGTGGGTCCATCCACGGCCCGTGGGCATGCTCTCGTGGGTGAGGCAGTGGTCAACTTGAGTTGGTTAAGTG